TTCCACTAGAGAGTACGCTTCCAGTAGAGAGTACGCTTCCAGTAGAGAGTACGCTTCCAGTAGAGAGTACGCTTCCGCTAGAGAGTACGCTTCCAGTAGAGAGTACGCTTCTAGTAGAGTGCGCTTCTATTTTTCGATGTCTGTCTAGACTGTGCTTCTCTTGGAGAGTGCGTTTCTATTAAAGTTTTTACGTTATTTAAATCAGCCCAACATCAAGATATTTGAACTTAAAGTTATGGCAATGGCAAAAGGAGCCGGCCGCGTCAGATAACCATTTTAGAGACTCCAAACTCGAATTTAACTCTTTTACAGCATCGTAGGATAGCATTTTTTGTATTGCTCAGCTAGGGTTGTCAAATTCATTAAAAATTCTTACAATTCTTCTATTCTATGTAAAATTAGGCGTAGATTTTATGATTAATTGTTGTTTTTTAGCTGAAGTTAATCTATTGTCTTAGAAAGGGAAAAAGATGCATTAGGCGCAGCGCTATATACCAGAAAGTACACCAGGAGTACACCAGAAAGTACACCAAAAAGTACACCAGAAAGTACACCAGGAGTACACCAGGAGTACACCAGAAAGTACACCAGAAAGTACACCAAAAAGTACACCAGAAAGTACACCAGGAGTACACCAGAAAGTACATCAAGTGTACTAGAAGTTTAGCCTATAAAGTCTGAGTGATTCTTCCGGTTTCTCCACTCGAATTTATGTATGGACTCTAATTACGAGAGGAGATGTGGAGAGCAAACAATTGACACATTGGTGTCCGTCCCTTTCCCCTCTCAAATTCTCATCAATCCATCCATTCCAACGGACACACATTTCAATGGAATTTCTGATGGATGAAGAACATCCGAATTCATAATGGACCGAATTTCTGCGAATGCTTTTAGTCCAGGGAGTCGAATATAAATACAGAAAGTTTAAGCAAATAATGATAATGATTTGATCTGTCTTCGCACTTAGCGCAGATCACAACCCGCTTCCACATTTACTGAGGCAGAAGTGTAGTTGTCGTAGCCGATGATACTCCGATGGCCGGGTTGGGGCGCTCGGAGGGGAACCCATGGGAGTCGAACCCACGACTAACCCGCGCCGACGTTGCTCAACTTGGCAGATCGGACGGGGTCGACCACAGACCCTTCCCTTTCTGGGCCCCAAGTTTAAGCAATGCGCCTGGAATGTAGATTTGTGTTCATTGCTTTCTCTAAAGCTTACTATACATTCATTTCACTATAAGCTACTCTAAATCTCTTTTTTCTTTAACTGCTAAGTAACTAGAGAAGTAACTACAAGCGAACATCTACAAGCGGATGAAACTAAGGGGATTTGAATTGTGAATCGCAAAAATTGCTTGTATTTTCAATTTTGGATGACCATTTTGACTATTTTAACTATCATTTGATGCAGAATAAAATTACGCGTCGAATGATACCAAAATTAACCCAAAATGTAATATCCATGCAAAGTTATTCGCTAAAAACCTAAACCCCGCCCATTATGAGCGGAACTTAACCTTTTGCCCCATAACTTTGCATGGATATTATATATTGAGTTAATTTTGGTATCATTCGACGCGTAATTTTATTCTGCATCGAATGATAGTCAAAATAGACAAAATGGAAGGGCTAGTGCTGAGAAAAACACGAGAAATCTTCAATTGCCAATGGCAAAAAGGACAGACAGATATTTTCGTTACAAATTTATTACTCGACTACTTTTTCACTCTTTCTTTTCTCATTTTCTCATTCCATTGAGAAAATAAAAATAGTGTATAAACAGGGAAAGATTTATGGGATCCAGGGATCCAATGGGATCCATGAATGGGATCCAACAAGCGTTTTGAGGCGGGGAGGAGCCTGTGGGATGAATGAGGGAGATAATTACAGCACACCATAAGGTGACCCCACTCAAATGCGACAATTCCTCATTCAAGACTCCAAGAGTCTCCAAGACAAGGCAAAACAAGACAAGACAAGAAAAGAAAACAAAATTGAGAAGGAAACCCGAATCGATAAGGGATTTGGCTTTAAACAAGTCTTACTCATTGAAAATCTAAAGATTGGAGGCCTAAGAACAGCACCTAAGCCTAAGAGCAGCACATAAGCCTAAGAACAGCACCTATGCCTAAGAACAGCACCTATGCCTAAGAACAGCACCTAAGCCTAAGAGCAGCACCTAAGCCTAAGAACATCACCTAAGCCTAACAACAGCACCTATGCCTAAGAACAGCACCAGAAACCGCTCACCAGAAAGAGTGCATTCACAGATTTGAGCAAAAAAAGCAAAGCAAAGTACACGAAACTCTGAGCTTTTTATATCAAAAACAAATCTATTAACTGGAGTAGCCAGCAATAATGGTCGCTGTGAAAATGATCGCCATCAGAGACTGAAATGTTTGCAGATTAATACAGCGTCTATCCTATTTCAAGGTATAATTTTGAAAAACTTTCAGTCGAATCGGTGCACGGCGGTTGGACCTTGTGGTCATCGTGGTCAAAATGTGAGGGAAAGTGTGAGAAAGGTGTCCGAATGAGAGTCCGTTCTTGCGAGTCGCCACGCCCGAAACGCGGGAAAACATGTTTGGGTGATGTGATGCAACGAGAGATTTGTCCTTTACCCGATTGTCCAGGTAAAAGATTGAAAAAATTGATGGATAAAATTGATGTCAAAGATTTGACTGTACAAGTCTTTTCCTTCCTTTTCCTACTTCCTCTTCCTTCCTCTTCCTTCCTTTTCCTTCCTCGTCCTTTGCTACAATGCGCGCGTAGGTATCAAAAAATAGCTGAAATTCAGCGCTATTTTTTGATACCAAAGACGCATTTTTTGAAAGTAGGGGCGCTTTGAAAAGAATGAAATACTAAAAGACTTTTGCAACTACGCGACTGTACGAGGGCGGTGGGGTACTAATTACAGTATTTACGGTAGGTTAACTGGTGAATTTATTCTTTTTCAACGCAAGGATGAAAAGGAAAGAAAAGGCTTTGAAAAAATCTAATAGAAAACACTTGAAAGAGGAAAAAGAAGTAAAAAGAAGTAAAGAGAAGTAAAAGAAGCTTAATAGAAAACAATTATGATTATTATTGATTATTTAAAAGCTGCTTTCTTTCAGATGTCGACTTTTTGATTAAAGATGCAACGAATTGCACTTGCGGCTGCGTTTTGGAGGCTGAAAGAGGAACTTTCTATGCAACAAAGCCTGGTAAACCAATTGAAAATAAAGAAAATTATCTCAAAAACGATATTGAAAATGATCAAATATCTTGATTCTTCTCTTGTTTCAGCAAAAGAATGCAAAGGCAATTTGACATGGGAAATCGCATCGAAGAAAGATCAACTCATTGATATAATCTTTGTCAAAGAGGGACAACCACATGGAACACTTCATCTGCATCAGAAAGGGACAAATGAGGTAAACTTTGGTAAACTTTGGTATCATTTTGATCGTGAATTTGATTTTATTGGTTTTGTTTCGAATTTTTCTTGGGTTCGTGAATTGAAAACTGCCGGCTATTGTCATATGTGACAGTTTGAGCACTTTCTTCAAAAGAAACCCATTTTGGTGTCAATGGAAAAAAAGGAAAAAAAGACTGAAAAAATAAAACACGACGAAAGACTGAAAAATTCTTTTTGGCGGGGTCCTTTTATTGCGTCGGGTTACGGTAGTTTCCGACGTTTGGCGCGGAAACGTCTGAAAGGCGAAGTGTACGGTGGACGGTCCGAAAGGGATCCGTCGTCACAATTTTATTATTTCAAGAGAGAATTCCTTTAAATTGATTTAAAGTAAAATGAAATTAAACCCAATTTGTTTAATTACTTTTTAAATTATTATTTTTTATTATTATTATTTAATTCATTGGGTTGGTGAATTGAAAACTGGGGGCTATTGTCATATTTTTTTAAAAAAATACCGACTGGGGCTACCAGTGGTGAATTTATCGCATACACGAAATATATCAATCACAATACAACGACACACACAATACTAGGCTATATCTTAACTTAACCCACGTCATGACAGACGGCTCCCTAACCCTAAGCTCAATGGGGAACTAAATAGCTTTTTTGGTGGTGAAGGGAAGATGACGATGAAGGAGTGGCTTGTCACTTTAAAGAACTGGGGCCACAACCACCAGACCGCCCTCCAGAAAACCTCTCAACCCGAAGGGAAAGGAAATCCGAAGGGGGTGACCATGTCGCATGTGGGGTTCGAACCCTCGACCTTCCGATTAAGATAAAAGACACTTAACCAGTCAGCCACACGTGCTATATGTGACAGTTTGAGCACTTTCTTCAAAAGAAACCCATTTTGGTGTCAATGAAAAGGTTGTAGAGAATCAAAAATTAAGCTTATATCCAAATTTTCAGAACGATTCAAAAAATGGTTCAAGAAATGCCAAATTTACGAATTTTCACAAAACTTGCATTTTAAGCGAAACTACTAAGTGTATCTTTTTGGAAATTTGGCTATAAGCCTAATTTTTGATTCTCTACAACTTCTCTATTGACACCAAAATGGGTTTCTTTTGAAGAAAGTGCTGAAACTGGGACTCCAGATCTCAATCCCCAGTCCTCCATTTTTGAGTCTCACACTTGTCTCACACACAAACCAAAATCCTACAACGAAAGAGGAATCCTCAAATTGCCTGTAAAATGGGCAGAAGTCGTCAATAATAATGAAAATTATTTCGAATGAATTCATGGTTTTGGCATGAATTCATGGTTCAATAAATTTTAGCTCAAAGTCTCGCAATTTTCAATTCACTAGCCCAATAGATACTTTTTTGATGTTTACCAGAATCAGAAACTCTTTCAGAATCCGATACTCTTTCAGAAACTTTTATGGAGTTCGGGGAAATCTTTCGAAACCTCACTCACAAAGCGACTCGATTCAAATCTCTTTTTCCGTTATGCCAATGATGAATCAAAAGAAAAAGATGATATTGAAGAGAATGCGAACATTTTGCGACCCGGCTTCACCGTAATCTATGCAAAAAGAAGTTTGTTCTTAAATATAGCGCTTTTAAAAGCGTATCAAACTCCAAAACTAACGCAATCTTCTCTCGACATCTACTTTTGATCGGATTCTGTGCGGATTCACAAAAAAAAAGATATGAAAGATAAAAAATAGATAAAAAAGTAAAAGCTAGATAAAAAAGTAAAAGCTAGATAAAAACTAGACATAAGGTTACGGTAAAAAAGTTGCCACGTTTTAGAAAAGCTATTTTAGAGGTAGACACTCTAATTCTCATTGCTAGACTTTTTCCAGGTGAAGTCCTCCCATTGGCCCTCGAGCATGAGCCGTGTCAACCATTTTGCTCTCAACATCTCATCATTGGTTTGTTTTATAGTATAATAGCTGCAACTCTGTAGACTAATAACTGTAACTCTTGCACATTTTCCAGGCGGTGTCTGCCTCGTTCTCCTCACTCTCATCCTCATCCCACCATTTGTTTGCGCGTCAATTACTCGACGAATCAAACGAAACGAGACACCCACTTTGCCGTTAATCGATAAACGGTAAATGCTTACAATCCTTAGTAAACTATTGAGTTGATATAAGAGCTGATATAAGAGCTGATATAAGAGTTGATATAGGAGCTGATTCTTCATAAAAGTATTTTAAAATCTTTTTCAAATCAAAGCCAAAGCTTCTTCGCAAAGCGGATCCGAACTCGCGGGCAAAGAGGAAATTGAGAGCGCGTCAGATTGAGAGCGCGTCAGATTGAGAGCGCGTCAGATTGAGAGTGCGCAGACTTACCACTACACTATTCCATCGATCACAGAAGGGAAAGAGCCATTATAAACCGGAGATTCGGTACCCAAACTTGCAATGTGTTTTTTCTCGAAAACCAGAGGGTTTTAAGAAAAACTAAATACAGCATCGGATTCCCCATACCCGAAATACCATTTCTATCACTATTCCTATCCTCCTTCACCCTAAGTTTAGCCCATTTCCTTGTTAAACTACGCGACGCTCCTATAAAGCTTCTATTCGAGTATTTACGGGAACAAAATTCATTATTTCATGATTTCAGTCCAAACAGCGAGATGATCCGCTCCGGGAACACCGATCTCACCCAAGTGAGCGCGCCGAAATTCGTCGCCAAACGGAGCATCGGCATTCAATTGAGTGCACACGGGACACCGAGGTTTGTTTTGGGTGTAAACGGTGAGGCATAATTACGGTCCCACGCTTTTGGCTTCGTTTTGGGACTTCTCAAAGTTCGTTCCTTTGACAAGCTCGACGCGCATCATTTTTACGAGATTTTCGGGTATTTAAGCAAAATTTTTGGAGAAATTTGCTATTTAAATGGGTTTTATGATGAACGAATCCAATTCCAATACGATTCCAATACGGGTCCAATACGGGTCCAATACGATTCCAATACGGTTCCAATACGGTTCCAATACGCTTCCAATCCAATTCCAATACGATTCCAATACGGTTCCAATACGCTTCCAATACGCTTCCAATCCAATTCCAATACGATTCCAATACGGTTCCAATACGGGTCCAATACGATTCCGATACGGGTCCAATACGCTTCCAATCCAATTCCAATACGGTTCCAATACGATTCCGATACGGGTCCAATACGCTTCCAATCCAATTCCAATACGATTCCAATACGGGTCCAATACGGATCCAATGCGCTTCCCATACGGTTCCAATACGCTTCCAATCCAATTCCAATACGATTCCAATACGGTTCCAATACGGGTCCAATACGATTCCGATACGGGTCCAATACGCTTCCAATCCAATTCCAATACGGTTCCAATACGATTCCGATACGGGTCCAATACGCTTCCAATCCAATTCCAATACGATTCCAATACGGGTCCAATACGGATCCAATGCGCTTCCCATACGGTTCCAATACGCTTCCAATACGGTTCCAATATGGTTCCAATACGCTTCCAATCCAATTCCAATACGGTTCCAATACGATTCCAATACGGTTCCAATACGGTTCCAATACGATTTCAATACGATTCCAATACGGTTCCAATACGCTTCCAATACGCTTCCAATCCAATTCCAATACGATTCCAATACGGTTCCAATACGGGTCCAATACGATTCCGATACGGGTCCAATACGCTTCCAATCCAATTCCAATACGGTTCCAATACGATTCCGATACGGGTCCAATACGCTTCCAATCCAATTCCAATACGATTCCAATACCATTCCAATACGCTTCCAATACGGTTCCTTTTATGATCCAATCTAATAAAAAGTATAGACACTTTTTTAGACATCGTTTCCCTTGAATGTTGAGTGATTGAACTGATAAAAAGATCAAGATAACGTCACTGAAAAAGCTTGAACGTGCCGGTTTTCGAGAGGCATTTTTCGAAGACTTTTAAAAGTTTTATTCTCAGCATCATATTTTATTATATGATTTTAATGTAAATAGTGAACTAATAAGATAAACACTAAAAAAAATAGCTTCAAGATCTTTTAAAGCGCTTTTTATGAACTCGAAACTCTTAAACCTCTTATAACTCTTATAAAATGCGAGCTGGACTTTGAGACATCTCAAAACCAAATGAATTCAGTTTTCAGCAAAAACCAACAAGAACCTACCATAGAAAAACTCTCTAATTTTTATTTTAAAAAGAGTTTTTGAGAATCACTCGAAAAATTGTGGAGAAATTTACGAAAAAAGCGTGGGACTGTACGTATGCCTCATCCTGTATAAGACGGCAAATGATAATAACGTTTAACAATGATAACAATATTGTAAGCTACTAGAAACAATGATAAGTAGACCCCTTAATATAAGCTAAACACTTTGAACATCTTTAAATAGATTTTTCAGGTTTACTAGGTTTTCAGCGTTGAGTTCAAGATGCTAATGATATAGAATACGAAGAAACGAAATTGATAGAACAAGAAATTGCCAGAGCCAACAAGAAATTGATAACTATAGAAAACTACTATAGAAAACGATCAAGTTATTTAATTTAGAACCGGTCGAGCCACCGCCGACACTCCGTTACCTTTTGGGTCCTCGTCGGCTTCTGTGCTTGACGAATTGGAATATGATGATTACGACGGTAAGTGAAGATTGTGATCATAAAAGAGTACATTTATTCAAACGAATAAGGTAGTACAAACAAGCAATTACAAACAAGACAAAAGTACAACTCCTTGGGAAAAATATCTGGGAAAAAAGAGAACAAGGGAGCCAGACAGCGGGATCGAACCCCCGACCTCCCGACTGAGAAACCGAGCACTTAGCCAGTCAGCCATGACTGCCTTGGTATTTCTTCGCTCAACTCGGCTTTTTACTTCAAAACTTCTCGATTAGCAAGCTTCTCAATGGCAAGTCGCGACCTCACCTATAAGAGGCCGTCATGCCGAGCCGCCTTCAGGGCAGGGGTAGCCTAGTGGATAGTGTGCTGGGCTCTGAAACCGAGTTTCCTGCTTTTCTCACGGGTTCGATTCTGCTTGGCGCTAAGTTCTTTACTTTTGTTGTTTTTCTTTCGTGAATTCTTTGTCATAATTATAAAAAACGTATTTTGTGAGTATTAAGATGTTTTCAAGGTATGAAAAGTTCCAAAAAACGATAACCACGTGACGGGGATAACAAGCGAATAAAAGTGAAAGTTAGTAGTGAATAAAAGGTTTTTAAATGCTAGATAACATCTAAATCACACCTTTAATGCTTGACTTTCAACTTTTACAATTTCAATCAACTTTTACAGGAACTCGAGATCCCGGTTCTCTTTTGGCTCCGCCACTCGTCGAACCCTACTCAACAATTGATATCGAACAAGTAATATATTGTTGCTTTAGTGCTTTGTGCTCACTAAAATCCTAAACGCACACTTTCTAGCGCACTGAATTCCCGATTTTTCTCATGACAACAAGTCGAACAAGAAAATTGAGGGATTGAGTGCACTAGAAGGGGGTGTGTTTACAAATTTGAGCACATAGATACTCAAGGATAAAGTCTAGCAAAGAAAAGACTTCAGAGATCTGCTTATTGAAAAACTTGGCATTTAATCGAAATCACTTGGCTTCCACTTTCTACTCTAAGGCTTCCACTCTAAAGCGCTAAACTTAAGCAGATCATTTTCACCTTTTGAACACTTTACAGTACTCCGAAACTTGATTACCTACTTTAGAAATGCTAAATGAACAGATTACTGTAAGACTAAGCAATACAGGGTGTAGCATATATAATGGAGCTTTAAAAACATTACTTTTATAGTAGTTAACTCTAAAAACGAAAGAAAAAAGACGAAAAAATACGATTTTTTAGGATTTGATACGCGCCCCCGCCTCTTTGTCATTGCCATAACTTTGAACTCAAATTTCTTGGCGTTGGACTATCAAATTTAAATATTCTTGGTATCATTCGATGCGCCAAGTCTTTCTCTATCGATTGGTATAAAAACTATTTCAATCGAACCGCTCAAAGCCAAGAAATTTGAGCTGAAAGTTAGATTGCCAATGGCAAAGGGGCAGGGCGCGCTTCTAGTAGAGAGCGCTTCTATTTTTCGATGTCTGTCTAGACTGCGCTTTTATTGGAGAGTGCGCTTCTATTAAAGCTTTTACCATATTTAAATTGAACAACCCAACACAAAGATATTTGAGTTCAAAGTTATGGCAACGGCAAAAGGGGCGGGGCGACGGACTTTTTATACACGCCCCGTCCCTTCACCATTGCCATACTTTGAGCTCGAATATCATGGTGTTACGTTGTCCAATTTCAATAGTTTTTGCACGATTCGACAGAGAAAGACTTGGTGCATCCAATGATACCAAAAATATTTAAATTAGCCCAACGCCAAGAAATTTGAGCTCAAAGTTAGATTGCCAATGGCGAAGGGGGCGCATCTCAAACGTCTTATCTTGACTGTACTTATCAAACTGTACTTATTTACGCTGTACTGTACTGACTGTACTTATCTAGATCATCGCCGAGGCTCGCAAAATCGTCGATCACGTCGACAAAAGTGATGCGCACACACAAGTCGGCAAACTTTAGTACAACTTTATCTTTTGAACGGGTTTTTTTTTTCTTGAAACTTTTGTCTTTTGTGCAATGATTCGATTCTACACTCTTTCCTTCTACAGTCGTTTATGCAAATTTCTATTTTTATCTACGAATAAACCATTTCAAACTGTCCGTACGGATCGGTCGTTTCACTGAAAATTAGATATTCAATAAAATTGTATTACTGTATTTTATTCGAAATCCAAAATAAAGCCCGGATTCATCGCATTCAGCATTCTACAGTAATCCGAGTTACTGTAGTTGAGTGTCTCGAGTGCTTTACCTATAGAAGAAACTATAGAAAGCTGATTACTGTAAGTCTGATTACTTAAGTCTGATTACTGCAGCATTCCGAGACAGATTACTGTAACTTTTAGCTCATCTAACTCATCTAGCTTTTAGCTCAGCACGTTTCTTCGAATTAATCTCATCATCGTAAGTGACTTGAAAGGAAAATATCAAATTGTTGTGATGCTGAATGACAGTGAGCGGAGATTTTGGTTGCAAATGGGCCAAGTGTACCTAGAACCGCTAATATTCCATACTTAAAAGTTGTATTGGCGCTCCAATACAGTCCCCAGTACTGTAGGCATTTAGTAGAGTGCGTCTTTAGTAGTATTTAGTAGAGTAGAGTAAAACTAGAGAAAAGCAGCATATATTTTTAGGAACTAGGCCTGGGTGAACTTCTGGCTTCTGAAAAACGAAACTGAACTTCTGAAGAGCTGAACTTTTGGCTGAACTTTCAAACTCACTGACTTGGATAGCTGCTCCACCATAATAAAGTAATGAATGACAAAAGAATTTGGAATCTATTAGGAATTGAACCCTCGATCTTATGCATACCAGGGAGATGCTCCATTATTGAGTTATCGGCGCCTTCTTTGCCCAAGAAGAAATAGGAAAGACAAGGAAGAAGAAAGAAAGGGAGAATAAAGAAAGGAAGAAGTAAGAAAGGAAGAAGAAAGGCAGGAAGAAGAAACAAAACCCAAATTTAAATATCCGAATAATCGGTATGGTACGAATGGCCAGAGCACACTTTAGAATGGGTATCCGAATCAGTGTTCGAAAAAGTTTGCAAGTCTGACTGATCCAGGTAGCTTTTTTGGTAAAGCCAGAGCAGTCAGATCTGGTTCTAGATCCAAAACCGCTCTAAAACCATGTGACCTGTTCATTCCACGATTTACACTCGTATCTAATCACAAGCATATATCTACTTTCCCATAATTCTTCCGTATTCTGTCCATACACTATGCATACACCTAAACTTTTGTGTTTTCCAAAGGAAATTTAAAATTTTTCCTGAAAAGCTCATGAACAGCGATAAAACAACTTTATGTTTTAAAAGAGCAAAATAAAACAACATGAAAATGATCACAATTTGAGAAATCTATTGAAAATACAAAATGTTTCAAAAATTCGATATTTGAAACTTTACCGTCCTCTTGAGCGAGATCTTTTTCGATCACGACCTCGACTCCTCGAACGACGTCGCTCCCGATCTCTTGAACGCGATCGTCGCCTTTCCCTGAAAAGACAAGATTTAATATTCATTAAAAGAATTTAGCTACAGTTAAACGTTTTATTTGAACATAGAGTTCGTCTCAATCCTTGATCACAAACTATCATACCATTCTTCTTGTTAGGCTTACGAAAAAGCAAAATTGTTGATACGTTACTTTTGTTTTGGAGTCTCCAAAAAATAACAAAACTTTTTGATACTTTACCTAACAAGTAGCCCTTATTTACTCACCTGTCTCTGTCTCTTGAGCGACTTCGCCTTCTTTCCCGTGAGCGGCTCCTTTTACGCTCTCGACTCCCACTACGAGATCGTCGATCCCGACTTCGTGAACGTTTTCGATCTCGTGATCGAGAGCGCTTCCGTCTAAAATAAACGTGTGTAAGAGAATCGAAGCAAATTTGATTTAACTTAAAAGTAAAACTTCATGCATACCTGCTAGGTGATCCGGAATCCTTATCGTGCTTTCTCTTGCTCGATTTTTTGCTCTTCTCATCTTTCGAGCTTTTCTCAAGCTCGTCTTTCTTTTCCTGATCACCATTTTTCGTTACTTCTAAAATAAAAATTATAACAAAAATGAAAACAAAATTACCTTGCTCAGCTATCTTTGGTGCTTTATTCTCCGTGTCCTTTGGCTTCTCTGGGATGATTCCTAAAAAATAAAAGTTAATAGTTTATCTTTCCAAACGATTTCCCTTATATAGGCAGCTAGCACGGAGGCCGCAGTCCCGTGCCAATACCACCCTGTACTTGAGGCTAGCATAGGGCGACCTATTCTATGCCAATACCATAAATGTTCTCTGTAGTAAAAAATATATATGTCTTGTGAATCAATATCCCAATTAAAAATATTACAGCGATTACTGTGAGTTTGAGCATTGATCAACAAGCCACAAAGTAATGCTTCAAATTGTACGATGAATGCGATTGACTCGCACAAATTTCATGTAAATCATCAACTACCTGCAGCTTGATTGGGCATCGTTGGGAGTTCAGTTGGCTTACTCAAATTTCGCACCGGGATACTCATTGGTGTCTTGAAAACGCCCGAGTCGTCACTTTTCGGCGAACCATTTCGATCATCGCGTTTCTTCTCTCGTCTCCCATCCTCAGAGTCCTCGTCGCTCTCATCACCGCCTGAAATTTGTAAAGATAACTTTGCATTGAGCGATGATAAAATCGCTTAATATTAATACAATAATCGATGTGTTAAAATTTACAAATGGTCTTAGATTTTTAAAATTGAAAAACCACTTACCGAGATTCGCGAGAGCGGCAAGTGCAGAACTTTTAGCGAGGATTTTAGGTTCAGCTAGAATACCCTGATTAGCATTTTATTCAAAAATAATTTTAAGCAAGAATACACAACAAATGACAAACAAAAATGTTTAATGAAGAAAATGTAACCTTTCGCCTTTTCACTATTGTGTGTTTGTTGGCAAATTTCAAATAGCTTATGATCGGTGACCTCAAGGAGTAGACCAGTCATGATTTTTCTCAGCGCCTTCATCTAAAAATGGATAGTAGGTTACAGCGAAATATGCAATATTCTTCTAATAGAAGACGATTATCTTCTATTGTCCTCTATAATTACGGTTTTACATGTCAATAATGATAACCTAAAGCTTTAACGTACCGCATTCGCTCGTCTCTGTTCTTCCGTTGGTCTCTCCTCCTCTTCATCACTCAGTTCACCGCGAACTTGATCCCGATTTCGCTTGAGCGCCATAAATGTCGGTTCCCCCTCCGGAAGACTTGACGGTGAAGCTTCTATAAGTCAAAGTAAACCTTTATAACTCTTAAATTCACTTGAATCATGTTCATCATCAGCATCGTTATTGTCCTCTTCTTCGCTGGAGCTATCCTAGATCGGAAATGATTTCAAACTAGATTATACACTTACAAATTTCCCTTTTCCAGCAAGAGCCCTCTTCCTTGCGCGAGCTTCCTCAACTCGTCGGATCTCCTCTTCTTTCTCCCTTTGCTTGTGCTTGTCTACTTCGGCCTTATCCAACCCCTCGAGTATCCAAGCCGGGAGCTTTTTGCGCTGTTCTAAATTAAAAAAAATTGAACATTTTGGCCAATACTATAAAGACATGCTTACTTTTTTAACAAAACAAAGCTTTTAAACAATATTCTTTTTACATTCTTCAAGTGTAATTTAAAAAATCTCTACCTGCTGAAATATTCGGAAACATCGGGGAATCGTTCATTGGCATTGGACCACCAAATGCAGCTGACGGGGGTACAAATCCAGGTGGTGGGCCTCTTGTCGGATATCCTCTTCCCATCGGTGGCATTCTCATTGGAGGTCCCATTCCTCGTCCCATCATCGGTGGAACACCCATCGACGGAGCACCGTATGGTGGCGGAATGGGAGCTCTAAAACAAATAGCAAAATAAATATCTGAAACATTAAAAACTTATATTTTTTAACAAACTTTATTTTATTCACCTTGGCGGAAATTGTCCAGGCGTGGGTCGCATTGGTGGGGCGCCATAGGGTGGATGTGATTGGGGAGGTCCTTGTGAGAAATTTGAAGATGGAGGAGCCCAATCGTCCGGTGGCCACATCGGCAAAGCGCCCATTGGTCCGCTCTCTGTTCCATCGTCGTATTGCTGTTGATGGTAGTAGTTGTCTTCTTGCCATCCGCCACCTCTTGCCGGTTCCCCCCGATCTCCATACTCATCGTAGTCGTCGTAACCTAAAACAAAAAAAAAATAAAAAACTACGTTTTTATATATCTAAAATACTATTCAAAATCAACATTATTTAAGCTACTTATTATTATTTTTAACTGTTTTTAAACTTTTAGATGTTTCAATCGAATCCAACATGAATTGATTGTTATACAGGATTAGGGCAAATTACCCGGACAAGAAACTTGTTTGAATGTTATTCGTCAACCGTTCCATAAAACTCCTATAATTCTTTTTCTATAAATTCGTAATTATCCTCGAAAAAAGTAGTCACACTTTTCTAGTCTTAATGGTGTTTTTTCTGGTTTTTCAGAAACCAAAAAAGCGATGAAAAGGGGGAAAATGAAGCTCCGCGCCAGGATCAATTTTATCCGATGCTTTGTGGTTCGAAAGAAAGCCCGGCCAATGGCTTTTTCTTTTCAGTAATGTCCCAATAGGTTAAGGAAAGAATAATTGTATACTATGGAGAAAAATACGATTAAGTTGACCGGCTGCAAAGTTACAACGAAGAACTTCAGGTAATTTTGCGCAACCCGGTATATCGAGTAGTTAAACTACTTCCAGACTTTTAGATAGGTAAAAAAGCTTTCTTACGAAGTTAGGTATATAAAGGTACCAGAATTTCTTGAATAGTTGTCATTGTGTCCATAGTTCGGCGGTGGTGGCCCAGGTGGAAAAGGTGGACCGGGAGGGCCTGGTCGAAAATTTGGCGGGAATGGTCTTGGCGGTCCTTGGTATCCTCCTCGTTGCCCGTTCATTGCATTGTGATGCATGGGTGGTGGCGGTGGAGGTCCTCTCGATATTGGCGGTGGTGGGGGTACCCCACCCGAATCCCAGCTCGCATTATATCCTCCACTTGATGGCCCGGGCGCATGTAGAAGAGCCTCCTCCGTCTTCACTGATGCGAATAGCGATCGTGGCGCGTTGCCATTGCCATCTAAACAAAGATGTTTTAAAGATTTTATTCTATTTAACCTCAAAAAATATCACCATTTCTGAACACTTTTAGCCCTTATTCTTTAGCTCTGATCTTTTTTCGATATACAGCAAGCTTAAAAATCTCGTTTAAAAGCTAAAACTCACGTTCAAAAGAACCACGATAGAAATTTTGACTCTCGTGGCTCGCCTCGTCCTCGACCGATTTCATCTGCATCCATTTTTGCGCGAGTTCGGCCCAATTAACTAAAATATTTATATTAGCAAAAAATTCTGCAAATCAGAACTTTTCTACAATACTTTAGTCACATTTTTAGGCGCTTATTAGGTGAGTTGTCACTCGTTGAGTTGCCTGCATTAAATTAATCGAAAGTTCTAACGTTTAAAGCTTGTCGTAGTCCTCTAAACACTGCTAAATTTCAAAATATCGCATAATTCGATAAAAACCATCAACTATTATGCATATTATCTCAACTTTTATGAAAAAAATCGAAACTAACCGCTCTCGTGGGGCATACTCTGATATTGACTCCATTGATCCATCGTTTCGTCAGACCTAAAAATTGATTTAACGTTGAAAGGCTAAAACTTGAGAACAAAAAAGATAGAAAGACAGAAATTTCCACCAGTCCCCCAACTTTTTAAGTTTTTTGTTCAAAATTTCTTCCGAAAATCTGCGAAAATTTGTGGATAGGAGTAGCGAGTCGATGCAAAGTAGTCGGGTAAACAAACGGTGGACAAAATTTTGTGTGAAATGGGCGTCTAATCGCTCATTTTTCTTCGGCTGCTGAGCAAACGCTGCTTTTTGCTAATTCTCAAGGGTTTAACACGTTAAAAAATGAGAAATACACGGAAATTTGTAAGTGGTTTAAGTTGAAAGTGCACGCAAAAAAAGCATTTTCTGTCGCGATTTTTGAATCTGACGAAATTCGCCGACTTTTGGCAATAAATAGATTATTTAGGACGTAGCAAACGGACGGAGTTATACATCAACAATTCGAGGATTCAAATTCGAATTCAACAATTTTCTGTAATTTGACCTAGCCATTTTATCTTTCAAATTGGTTCCACAAGCTCTGATATGTTGGATTCTATGCCCTAAAATTACCCAGAAGCATTTTTTTGCCCAGAAAAACAACTTTTGGAATAGAAATTGGTTAGTATTAGCTTTTTTAGAGCTTTAAAACGCGAAAAAAGATGCGCTAATGGGCCGGGTGCGCAAAAAAAAATCGCAGTTGTCCCACTTCTTATATGGTTCTATAGAACTACATTATCTTTAGTTCTCTAGAACTGCAATATCTTTAAATTCTTAGACACTCGATATCCATTAACTTTAGAAAAATGTATCTTGTTGAGTCTGACAACTCCTGAAAACACTTACACCCACTTTAGCCTCTAATTGAAAATGCTTGATGAAGAAAAAGCACAAGTCGCGCTAAAATCTAACTGCACGGATTACGGGGGGAGGGAGAGCGTGGAAGACGTTGCGCAAATAATGGAGTGGAGCCCCGGAACGGGCGGAGTGAAGAAGGGAGACTGTGGGTCTATGGCTGGACTGAAGCCATCCCAACCCAAGAAATGCCACTCCGAATCTCTCAAACAGAGAATTCTTGACCCTCTTTTTCTATCACTCCCGGTATTCGCGAACTGTATGAGTTCATTCAAATCATTATGCTTGGCTTGTCTGGCTCTTTTTTAGCTCTGATTCAATTCTATGATTTCGTCCTAGCTTTCTTTTTCAATCAGCTTGTGGAACAGCCCGAGATTTCTTCTCAGGCAGTTCCACAAGCCGAGACTTGTCGATCTTATCCTCACAAAATTTATATACCGTAAATCTACTATATCTAAAAGGCAAGTGTCCGTCTGTCCGTCCGTCACAGGACGGCCCCCAGAGCGAAATTCGGGCGCACTTTTTTTTGTTCGATAAGAAATCTTTTTTCACACTCTGCCCCCAAAAAATCAGAAAATTTCATCAAGCGGTTTTTTTAAAAATGCAAAAAACTGCAAAACTAGCCGAGCCCAATGTTTCCACTCCGCGCGCAGATGGTCGAGTGGTTAGAGCGCGCGTCTCTCAAACGAGATTTGGAAAGAGGGGTTGTGGGTTCGGTCCCCCTCGGAGAAACTTAGTTTTGCTTTTCTTTTCAAAATGAATTTTAACTGTTGGAAAATGAATTTCGATAGTTTTGAGGTATCATGAGGTAGTGCAACGAAAATTCCAAGGTTGCGTCGATCAATCACGCGAGAAAAAAAAATGATTTTCTAAAAAGAAGTTAGACTACGCGACTGTACAAGTGGTAGTAGCGTTCTATTAGAGTATTTACGGTATGTTACGTCTGATTTTGAACACATTCAAATCGGACGTTCGATTTTGAAAACGTTTATCTTCTAACCGCTTATTTTCGAAACCGCTTTTTACCTCGAAAAGTCATTTCACAAAGAATTTTATGATTTCGATCGAATTTTAAGCAAATTTATCGACCAAATCTATTCAAATGTGATTCTAGTCTTGCTAAGCTTTTGTTTTGCTAAGCAGTATGCTAAGCTTTTGTTTTGCTAAGCACTATGCTAAGCACTATGCTAAGCTTTTGTTTTGCTAAGCAGTATCTTAACGCAAGGTTTATCTTAAAACTATCGAAATGACGCCCTTTTTATTTATTAAACAAGTTTCAAACAATAGTTTATTGACAAAAACATTACAAAAGAAATGCCTTTTTTTTCTCTTTTTTTCATTTTTAAAGAAACATACAAAAGCTATACCGTAAAAAATAGAACTCTAATAGAACTCTAATAAACTCTAATAGAACGGCCGGCCGTTCTATTTTTCAAACCCTCAAAATCGGCCGGCCAAAAAAAGTAGGTAAGGGTCCCCTACATGAAGCAAAAATTTATTTTTTTTCGAAAACTGTTTTAAACGATAGCCCTTGGCTTAAAACGTATGTAGAACACGTTTTAGAATGAAAATATTTTCCTATTTTCCTATTTTCTTATTTTCTTACCCGTTTTCCTATTTTCTTACCAATCTTACTGCCTTCAGAAATTTTTCTGAAAAAATTCCGTCGATTTTTTCTTTCAAATTTTTTGAAAACTTGAAAACTGTGCAACCAATTTGACTGCCGATGATAGTTTTGGCATATTTATCTATTATTTTGGCTCAACTCTATCCATTCCCGTCAAAAAATGTCCCAAAAAGTCGATATTTCAAGAGGTCAGAGGGGGCCGTTCTATTAGAGTTTTTACGGTAATTTGTTTAGTAATTTAACTCAAAGTAATTAGTAATTTAGTGATTTTAATGCAAAAACATTATTTTCTTTTTAAAGGTTTCAAAATCAAAATTAGCATATATAACTTGTCATTAGTCTGTAAAAATATAGCAAAGTTGTGGGGTACTTTGCGCCAAATTTTTTGCGCAACAGGGTCATTTGCGCAACTAGGTCTTTTGCGCAACTCGCCATAACTTTCTTCCAAGTCGACCAATCTTTATGATTTTGGTGTCATTTTGTTACACTTGTTGTACACTTTATTTCTTTATTACGAAAATTCGGGGTGGCTACTTCGCGCCAAATTTTTTGCGCAACTCGCCATAACTTTCTTCCAAGTCGACCAATCTTTATGATTTTGGTGTCATTTTGTAGATCTCAATAAGTGCAACAAAATGCAACCAAAATCCTAAAGATTGGCTGACTTAGAAGAAAGTTATGGTTAGAGTTAGAGTTCCGCAAACGATCCAGTTGCGGAAACTAGCCTACCTCATGTAAATGTTAGAGTAGAGTAGGCTTTTTTAAACAAATTAATTGTTTAAACATTTGCATTTAAAAATTTGCATTTAAAAATCAACCAATTAACCAAGAATAGTTTTGAATCGTTGAGCAAGTTAGGTAGCAATGTGGAAATCATAAAGATCATAGGTCAAATCATAAAGATTGACCGACTTAGAAGAAAGTTATGGCAATTTGCGCAAATGACTTAGTTGCGCAAAAAAATTTGGCGCAAAGTAGCCTACCCCAAAGTTGTTGCTTACAATGAGATTCGTTTGTTAAAATTAAATTTTGCGAGCAAGATCGCCAAGTACCTTATACTTTGCCTTACCCTTCGACAGCTACCTTTCAAGATATTAAATTAAATAGCTGAATATCTAAATGAGCATAGAATCTCAAAGGATTCAACTGATCTTTAGGTTTTGCTTTAGCTTTGGCTTTGGCTTTTGCTTTTGCTTTTGCTTTTGCTTTAGCTGGCTTTGGCTTGGCTTTGGCTTTGGCTTTGGCTTTAGCTTTGGCTTTGGCTTTGGCTTTAGCTTTAGCGTTAGCTTTAGCTTTAGCGTTAGCTTTAGCAAGCTTAGACTTGTTACAATGAAATAGTGAATTGTTAAGCTTTAAAGCTAACTGCGATATCACCATTAGACAGACAGCTTACACGTCTCTTACCAATGAGCAAATTTACCAAACTAAATCTAATACAAATTTTCTTTGAGTTAATGCAAATCTACAGTATTGGCTTTACATGAACAAAAAGATATATCAAACAAAAATCATTGAAAAGTATTAGTTTTAAATCGAAAAGCACCCCAGCCTTTGCCTCTCCACGAAATCGGCCGCAAAGAGGGGCCACTAAAGTACGGTAGAAAGGTCAAGGAATAGTTTGTACGGGGAAGACTGGTGAAGGAGAGCTGTACGGGAGAGCTTAAAGATCGTAGAGAGGAAAGAGAATTTGGATTTGTATGAAATTGTGAAGAATACAGTCATTATTCTAATAGAAGCGCCTCAAATAGAAGCAATTTTGTAGAATGATTGACAAATTCATCTTTGTTTATCTTTGTTTTGAAGATAACTCATCACAAGCAGTCTTATTGTCTACGTAAAGATGTCAGCTTTGTGAGTGAGTTCTATGCGTTTCAAATAGTTAATAATTTCTCTTACAACTCATAGCACAACTTGTACATAGATGGGACTTTTTTTAGATGTCTATATGGTGACTAATAAGTATTGTCGCGTGCTTACTCCTCGAGGAGCTTACTCCGCGTGCTTACTCCTCCTCCCCTGTAGCGTTACTCCTCGAGGTTAGTTCCAAATCCTATGATTAATATACAAAAATGTTGCGAAGAATCTAGAGAATCTAAATATATAAATTTTGAAGAAAATCCCTAGCAACAGTTTGGCACTTTCTTAACAACATTCTTAACAACAACAACAACAACATTACTTATACAGGATGCGCCAAAAGTTCCCGCGCTTGTATTTTCTGCATTTTTGGTAATCTTAGATAAAAGATACGATTTTAAAAGTAAGAAATTCGAATTCCTCGCGAAAAACTGATTTAGAAAACGTTTCTGGTTAATTTATAAGTGCAACGCTATTTAAGACAAGCGATTGAGAAGAGGTTCCGCTCAGGGGCGCTTTGGTCGCACAGTTACAGTTATTTCCTTTGATGAAAATTTGCAAATTGTAGAGAAAAGGAACCAAATTTGTAGGCGCTTTGGTCGCACATTTTTGGTCTGGGTTTCCTCCCAAAAAAAGTTTCTATAATTTCAGCTCTATTTTCAGTTCTAT